TAAATATATACTAACTTCTCATCCTACACACTATATATATACATATGCAGTACATATATATAAACATATATAATATAAGTTTAAAATATCAATGTCTCTAAGTAGGAGGTGGTAAGTGATCAGGTCTAAATCCTCCAAAAGAAGGATCAACAGTCTGGGGTGGTGTAGAAGAAGGATAACCGGTTTGGGGTTGTGTAGCATTCCTAGAATATTGCTGGCTAAGTAAGCACATGTGCTCTTGGAATCTCCTCTCAAAGCTAGCCTCCATCTCTGACACTCTCTGTGATACCTCTGTATGAATACGTGCGGCCACCTCTATCTAAACTCGCTCAGCCATATCTTCCCGAACTTGAGTAAACTCAGATTGCAACTGTTGGATCTGTGTCGTAAGAATTCTGGTGGTAGAAGAGGAGGCCTCACTCATGTCATACCGTCGCCAAGGGATGCCATGCTCTGTTGGATCCTGTAGTGTAGACATCCCTCTCATCTGACCCTTTTTAGGAGGTCCAACCACCTCTTTCTAGATAAGTGGATCCCATTCTGGCCACGAATCCTTGTTTGACCCATGCTTCTCCACATATTTTTGGTGAGCATTGTTATGTTTCAAAAATAAAATTTTCATTAATTAGCAATTTCAAATGATAATGGGAAATCAAATGAAAAATAATCATTTCTTGAGTACAATGGATAAAAAATTGTATCACTTTTCTTCTTTTGATCAAAATTGACATAAAAAATAAATAAAATTAATATCATAAAAGAATCAGATTCTTATATATGTCTACTCAGCCTATGGACATATCCATGTGGGTGGGGCATCTTCTGGAGCATCATGTCGGCGAGTTGTGTGAGTCAACAAGTACGATTTTAAAGGTGTCAACCTAACTCTTCCTCTTTTAGCTGCCTATTAAAACATCAATAAAATCAATAACATTTCCATTTTTATGGTAAACAAAAATAATTTATATATGTATATATATAAGTATATCCTACTAACAAGTTGATCCTCGTGGATCCCAATAGAAAGGCATCCAATTGTGTGGGTTACACAGTCACCCTTTGCTCAATTTTTCCAACCTCTTTCCTGGAGTGCAATATATTTTGGACTCCCCGATTTTGCTAACAAAATTTTAAAGGTATCCTTATGCATGAACTCAGGCAACTTCTTGTACTTGACCCACGCTTTTCGAGCTCAATGAAGCTCGTCTCCAAAATGTTTTCGATAATGTAATCTCCAAATTTTATACACATGAGCATCATCTTCTTCGCAATAATATGTCCTCTGCAATGAAAAAACAATTAATTAAATTTTAATAATTTATTTGATTTTTCTTTAAAAAAAAAAGAGCAAAGTTTTGCTTAAATTACCATTTTTTCACTATTAATAAATAAAATATAAAAAACTATATAAAATATACCTTGTACTTCCATAACAAATGCCATAAAATAAAATGATAGCATATAAATAAATTCTCAAAAAATACTTCATTTTATTCTATAATTTTCATACCTAGAAATTCTCCCAAGCAACCCTCTTCTTTTCCTCAAGCCAGCTAGACCAAAAAAAAACTGGCTCATCATTCAAGTACTTCCATATTACTGTGGCAATCCTCCCAAACCTCTCATGGCTGAATGTGCCTCGGCGATTAAGGCTAAACAACTTCCTTTGACTCGGGTTTGCAGGAGCATCATCTCCTTTATCCATGCCACATTCTGTCTTCAAGATAGCACGTGATAGCTCCTCCTCTAGCTGAGCATCTAACTCAGGATCAAGCACAACAAACTCAACATCCAACTCAGCCTCCAAATTACGCTCTTCAATGTCCTCCTCCATTGTTGCATCATCACTAGGGTACTGATCATCGTCCAATGGTCGCTGAGTAATAGTGGGTTGCTCCTGCTGCAACTATGTGGGAAGCTGAGTCAAACTGGAAAGCTACTGCTGTGCAGGAGGCTGGCTCAAGCTGGGCAGCTGCTACTATGTAGGAACAGCACTATGAGGCCCCAAAATAAGATGACGAAGTTGCCTCTGTGGTTCTCCCTCTAGATCAACCTGCTGTCTAGAAGAAGATGC